TTAGTCTGCTAAACTCAGTGCTGAAACACAGCATCTTGAAAGAACAAACCCCCAACAATAAAAAGGAAAAAAAGATATTTTTATTGATTGCATACCTGTACTGAGCAACAAGAACAGCAAACATTCCTATGACACCAGCTCATTGTTTTATAGATTGTTAAGTAGCAAAACAAAGTTAAAATGGTGTAGACTTTCAACATATGTTAGGAATGCAAATACAGTATGTTACCTAAAATTAATTCTAATCAGTTCACAATATAAAGATACTTGGAAAGATTTTTCAGGATTTATTTTCAGTGTACTCAATGTAATTTTTATGCTTTGATTAACTTTTCTTAGCTTTAATACAAAGCTTTCAGTGGCTGGGTTGCCAAAGGAGGACTATGACGATGGTGAAAGGGCCTAGAGGGGAAGCCATATGAGGAGCAACAGAGCTCATTTGGCTTGTTCATCTTGGATAAGAGGAGACTACAGCTTTCTTATGAAAGGAGGAGGAGGAACAGGCTTCTCTTCCTCTCTTCCTCTCTTCCTCTCTTCTCTGTGGTGACCAGTGATAGGACCTGAGGGAATGGCCTGAAGCTGTGTCAGGGGATGTTGGATTTTAGGAAAAGGTTCTTCACCCATAGAGTACTTGGGCATTGGAACAAGCTCACCAGAGAAGTGGTCACAGCACCAAGCCTAACAGAGTTCAAGAATCATTTGGAGAATGCTCTCAGGCACATGGTGTGATTCTTGGGGCTGTCCTGTGCAGGGTCAGGAATGGGACTTTGATGATCCTTGTGAGTCCCTTCCTACTCAGCATAATCCATGACTATGATTATGAGAACTTGTTACAAGGTAATTTTACCTCATTTTAGGGGCTTTGTTACTTTAAATTTTCATCAATTTATGTAACTTTTTATGAATATATATAAAATTTATTGAATTTGTCATTTTTTTATGCTCTAGAGTATCAAGATGGAACTGGCAGATATGATGCCGGACTTAAAAGACACCTCCCCCCACTGGAGCAGGTAGGTAAGAGCCACTGAAGGACATCACTTGTCCAAACACGGCTACATGCCACAGGCTCTGAGGTAGCTCTTGAATATCCATTATAGAGACATTTTTACCAGAACAAGTTGAGCTAGGCTGTCTTTATAGCAAATGGAGAAAAACATTTTTCTTTTTCAGGATATGACTAATATGCCCTATTTCAGATACACACTTAACCTTCTATCTAGAGACCCCTTTAAAGAAGCATCTAGGCAATTAAAACAGAGGGAATAATTTATATTTGGTCATATAGGTTTTCTACCTTCTTTCCGTACCCCTGTAGAACATACCTAAGGTGTCTGATCTGGACATCACTGAGCTAGTATTGACCAAACTAGCTCCTGAGACAATATATGTTAAATGCATCTCTCTCTTAGGTTAACTAGCCCTGGATTTTTTTGCTTTGGTGAATTGAAAGAGTTGTTATGATCAAGGAGTTATTTTTATGTAAGGCACATAGAGATTCAGTGTATGATCCAGTGCATCAGGTTAGGTTTCCAAGCTAAAAATTAGACCTTTTGGATGAGTGGTATTTTTTATCAGCTGGGTTATACATGCTGTTTTACACTAATGTGACTGTTACAGATTTCAGTTTTAGATGTCCAGCTTTCTCCCAGTGGGTTGGGAATTTAGAGATTTGAGAGATATTATTTAATTACAGTAGTTAATTACATGTAAAACCCCAAACACATATCATTTACGTATTGTATATATAAGCCACACAAAGATTAATTCCTTATTTGGAATGATCCATTTCTCCCTACATGTAGTAGCAGTTACTTTTAAATGTGATATTTTGTGAAATAGCAAGTCCGAGAGCTTTTTGATTTATAGAGTAAAGATAAACTTCTTTATCTTAGTAATTTACGCAGTATGTGTTTTATATACATGGGAATAAAAATGCCTTTCTCTTCATTTGAATGTATGTATTCCATTGGCCAAATCGGACCTTTTTCCCCTTGAAAATTCCTCTTACATAGACAGTGTTTACATTTTGACAACTGTTCATGTGAATAACAACAAACCGTAGAGACACAATAACCCCCAAAAGACAGAAAAATTGCTTGTTTAAGCTTTTAAAACTTTTTAAAAGCTTTAAAACTTTAAAAGCTTTAACACTTTTAAAAAAAGCACACACCAGACATGAGATATGTTGAGATAATCTCATTTTTAATAACTGAGATAAAGACTTGCAGAGTTCAAGTCTCAGGAAATCTTCCGAGGAAAATAATAAAACTCATAAACATTTCAATGACTACTTAACAGAAATAGCATGCTAGAACTACCTGATTCAAACAGACCAGTTATCATTTCAAGGTATTTATATATTCTGCCCATATCTGTAGCAGAGTCTCTATGAGAGTCATTATTTTCAGAGTATAAGCATCATAGTTGGCTCATGACAGTTTGCAAACCCGATAATTTAATTTTTCGGTTCTAATAATAAATATTAAATAAATAATAAATAAACTCTAAACTATTAAACACACTAGAAATCTCAAACTACATGGAAATAAAGGTCAATTTCAAAGTATAGGGGTTTTTTTCAGTTTCTTCATTAACACTTTGACTTGCAGAATCCAAAGAATTTCATTTATCATCAATTTTATATCTACAAATGGAAGGCTGTTGTATTTGACTCTCTTGATTTATTTTTCTCTTTTGTCTCTTTAGGGTAACAAATTAATAACATTTGTGTATGAGATCAGCTGCATGAATTGTGTAGGAGCTGCAAATAGTTTTTCAATTAACATAATTTATAAGCTTTTCTAGGATAAGGAATTAAATTATTAAGCTTTTAGGGCTAATTACTGCTTTCTGTGCTTTTGGACTGCCAAGTGCAATGGAACCTTGATCTTGATCAATGTTTAAAGGCAATGTTTAATACAGATCAAAATCATTATGTTAATATGTATATCAATCAGCACTGACTTTCTAAGAAAACTTTTCATTTTTAAGCCTGACATTATCACAAATTGGACAAGTACCAGTTATTTTTACCTAGATATTTATTGGTTCAAGTATTAATAGTTGCTTGCATTTGGACTTGTTGAGGATGACTTTACTACTATATATATGTATTTATGAGGACATAAATGCATATATGCAGCCTTAACCACTCTAAAAGCTAGAAACTTAAATGTGGACTTAAATATTGTGGACTATTTAAGACACGTAAGATAAAAGTGTAGTAACTGAAGATAATATAATTCCACAAAAGCCAAATTCATTTGCAAAAGTGGTCACAATAGAAAACAGGAATCTACACATGAGAACAACTTTCGAGGATGTAGCGTCCCAACAGGCTAACATGATCTTTGTAAAATGGAGACTTTTTCTTAGCCTCACGGTGGAGGAAAATTATCTGTGAACCTTTACCTGCATCAGTGAATCTACATATTCACAATTTCTATAAGAGGAGATTAATACCGTGGCAGAAAAATTTACAGACATTAATTGGTACAGTGAAACCTATGCAGATCACATGGATGTGTAGATGTTGTCTCAGCATTAGATATGAAAATGATTTACCAAATTGAAATGCTAAGTAATGTGGTTGTAAACAATTAACCTACAAAGAATCTATAGCATCATCCTGAATTAGTTGTTAGTACTCAAGGTAAAAAAAAAAAAGGAGACTTAGGAGTCTGTAAGGATCAATACCTATCCCTGCTGAAAAGATATGAAAAGTATATTGTCAATTGTTAGGAAAAGCAGTGGAAAGCAAATCAGAAAGCATCATAATATGCTTTCATCAGTCAGTATGGCCCCACATCTTGACTATGAAATATACACTACAGACAGGTTTAAATAGAGGATATCAAATCTTGAAGTGTATCAATAAACTATAAAGCAAATTTTGTCCTATTTTCTATATGCTAAATTCAACAAGCCCCTAGCTACCTAATGGTGAAATTGCTATGCAAAAATGACATGCTCAAGGAAGTACTTTTAACATTAAAAAACATATAATGGAAACTAATTTTGCCAAAGGATAAAAAGATAAATGTTAAAAAATGCATTAGAAAAATAAATGAAATATACCATATTGGACAATTAAAAAAATAAAATTCTGGCATTCTTATGCTGAAAGTCTTTAAATAGTGATGAAACCTCCAGTTATGGTGATATGAGACAGGATGCAAGACTTTCTGGCTTTTGAACTGATTTTTTATGGCTGTTACAGGCATCATGTGAAAACCCATATATAACTTGAGAGTAAATGCTCCTGCATTATATCTGTAGCACACTGAATTAAAAGAAGATAGTAACTTCATATTTCTTTAATACTACATGACTATTTCTGTAATAAACACCAGTTTGTGTTAAGGTGTTCCCAACATTACTATTAACAGACATATCCTCAAAAAAGATCAGTGTATTTTATCTCCATGACTCCTATTGAAATCAATTTCTGCACAGGATGGTGCAGAAAACTGTTTCAGAAATAAAAGAACTGAATCAGAGGAAGCAGTCTAGAAAGAACCTTCGCTACAGTTTTTTTCACCAACATTTTCTGGGACTTCATCAATCTTGTTCTTTTCTCAAAAAAAAGTCATATCTTATGGTTCCAGAGCATTGCCACATATAGATTTTAAAAAAAAATAATTTACTAGCCAAGATGCTGCCCATCTAATTGATTGTGATAAGAACTACGATACTCAAAAAACACCTTACAGAGATAAGATGCTAATCAGAAAAGATACTTGAACCCTTAAGAAAAATAAGTCATGTCAAATTAAGCACATCAGACTCTTTTAAAACAAAGGTAATGTTTTCCAAGTCACTGAATTGTTACATGTTGGTTTTTCCTTAAAAATTCAACTCAGTTGAAATATATATGGTTTCTAATATGTTAGTTTTGAAGAAGTCCCCGTTCCATGAAAAAAAAAAGAAAAAAAAACCCATATTTTTTTTCATCTATTTCCTAGTGTGCAGAATGGATTTTAGAAGGAAAGAGAGGGAGGAGAAATCACTGGTCTGGAATATACTTTACATGTATAACATAAGAAATGAAGCTGTTCACAGTGAAGTAATAGTGACAACATTCAGAATTTCAAATGCAAGACCACTTTTGCTTCTGGTAGACAGATGCAAAGAACAAACATATTTTGCTAAAAAAAATTTACATCTTATTTGTTTCAATTACTTTTCCCCCATAACTTTAACAAATGCCTAATGTATTGTTTAGTAAAATGTTATTATAAAGTATGGCAATATAACACAATTTGAAGAGGTGATTTTATATTTTTTTTCTTTAATACTTTAACAGGACTGTTTAATTCATGAGACCTGAGCCCAGGCATTTTTTAATCATCAATACATTTTATTTTGTTAACTTTTCTTTAGCTCAAAATCAAAAAAAAACAAATCCTGGTTGAGCAGCACACCTCAGTTTTTCTGGAATTGGATGTTCTTATAGGACGTTAATGAGCTTGTCACCTGCCCTATCAACTTCATTTTTAATCTCCATTTCACTCATCAGATTCCACCAACTATCAACAGGACAGTATCCAGAATCAAAAACAATAAAACAAAACAAAAACAAAAACAAAACAAAAAACACCAAACAAACACACACACATGCAAAAAAAACAAAACAAAACACAAAAAAACCCACAAACAAATAAAAAAATTAATACCTTAAAAAAACTGTTGAAAAAAATTATCTCTAAGGGAAGTAGTGAAGTCCTGAATTAGTGAAGCAATGAAGCTGAGGAAAGACAGTTTGCACTATTTGTTTCCCCAGCTGCACTGCCGTTTGCGTATACTGATTTCATGCCATTTATTACTCAGCAAAAATCATGGCAGTGAAGAATCCAACCTTCCTACTAACTGTACTCCAAATTAGCCTGTCATAAAAACCATAGGGAGGAAAATACCAAACAACCCTCAAACAGAAACAACTTTTGTTACCTTAAACAAACAAACGTGTGTGTCTCCTCCCCCCCTCGACCTGCCCCATCTGCCATTATTT